GGGGCTAATTTTTTTTTAAAATGGTCAGGTATTTAGACGGAAATTTCCGTCTAGGAGGTATTCTAGACGGAAATTTCCGTCTAGGATATCCTAGACGGAAAATTCTGTCTAGAATACCCGACTATTTTTAAAAAAAATATTAAAATACAAGAACCGTCTAGGATACTATTCTAGACGGAATATTCTGTCTAGAATGATTTATTCTAGACGGAAAATTTCCGTCTAGAATAAGTTATTCTAGACGGAAAAATTTCCGTCTAGAATATTCCGTTTAGAATATGTGATTTTCTACTAGTGATTAAAAGTAGATGACACTAGTCTCATTCAAATTGTTATATTGCCTAAAGTTAATTTTGATTTTGTAAGTTTCCTTCTTCATTTATTCAAGCTAAAGCATAATTCTAGTTTCACTAGTGGAAGCACGTAGTCATAGTACGGACGATCTACAAAAAAATGAAGCTGGTACGTGTAGCTAAATTATTTTGTATTATCAGGTTAGTCTAGGGAGGAGGAGGAGATGAGTTAAGACTATTGAATCATATCATAGGGAACAAAATGAGTGAAATTAATGAGTTTGGATTTTAATTAGACGGGTTTGGATTTGGGGTCTTAACGGGTTTTAGTTTAATGGGTTGTGGTTCTAAGGATGTGAACTGAGTGGGTAAATTAATGTCCATTTAAGAAAAAGAAAAGAGATATTCTTCGCTTACTTTATAACTTACCAGTTACCATATTGATCATAACCTCTTTTATTGCAGTCAATGCAATGAGAGATAATCTTGATTGGTGTCTCCGAACGGATATCTTTTTTTTTGAAGTAAAAACAAGGGTTATACCCCATTCATTAATAGTCAGAATTATCAAAATATATTTCAGTACAAAACAAGAACACGAACAGTGTCCATATGTTGGAATATAGAAAATAAAATTTCTAGTAGAAGAGATGTATAACCTTCTTCTTCCAAAGATCTATGAAGATGAAGAGAGGGCATTGCCGTCATTTATCGTTGACACAGATTTAGAGAAGAACCAAAGCCAGCCATACATATACATAGTAGAAATTAAAATTTCTATAAACAACCAAAAAGATAAAGTTAAATTGATAATATATACAGAACTGTATGAGAACAAAACAACAAGAGAAAAGCTCTTCAATTGTCTTCAAACACTTGCTCTTGATATAGGTTGGCTATCCAGCATGGTTGATAGATGTCTTGCTGCAACACCCCTTCCAGTCTCTGACCATTCATACAACCCATAAATAGTTTGATTGGTAATCTGTTTATAAGAGAAGCTCAAATTTTCGAACAAAGCTTTGTTCCTACTGATCCATGTATTCCAGCAGACATGCGAGAAAATTGCACGCCATATATAACCTTGACGTCCCCTTAAATTTTCTATAATTTGAATCAAAACTTCAAAAGATGATGGTCATGAAAAAGGAAGATAATAATTTCTGAAGTGCACCCAAACTTGAGAAGAAATTGAACAAGAAAAAAATAAGTGGTCTCTGGTTTCAGGGTCCAAGCCGCAAAAGATACACATGGAATGTCCTTGCCATCCTTTTCTCAAGAGGTTGTCTTTTGTATGAAGCTTATTTGAGCTTAAAAGCCAGATAAAAAACTGACTTTGCACGGAATGTCGTTTTTCCAGATTAATTTGAAATGTGGTGAGAGGATGCCTCTAAAAATTAGAAACTGATAAAAAGATTTCATAGAGAAGATACCACTAGTTGTAAGCAACCATTTTGGGATGTCTGGTTGATCTGATATTTTAAAATTGTTTAAAAGATAGAAAAGGTTGGCTTTGTCTGTTTGAGATATGAGAGATATGCATCTTCTCAAAGTAATGCCCCAATGCCAAGTAGAATTCATCAATATTCCGTGACTGCATATAGGCACATTAGAAGATAGAGCTAACTGATATAAAGAAGAGTAAAAACTGGATAGAGAGTTATAACCAGTCCACTTATCTTCCCAGAACCTAATATTTTCTCCTGAACCAATAGACTATGAGACATGATGAAGGAACTCATCTTGGAATGACATTAATGCATTCCAGAAAGATGAATTGGAAGTAGTTGGCTTCATCAATTGAAGAGATGATCCTCTAATAGAGTATAATTGTCGAAGAAAAATACCGAAAATGAAATTAGAATCAAGACATTTTTATAGCCACTTTGCTAACAAAGCAGTGTTAAAGGTTTTGATATCCTTGATTCCCAAGCCACCTTCAATTTTGCTTAGGCAGATTTAATGCCAGTTAACTAAACATTTGAATCCACTTGCTTCAGAGCCTCCTGTCCATAGAAATCATTTTCTAACTTTATCAATCTCTTTTATGACCCAGGTTGGCAGCTTGTAGAAAGACATGAAATATAGAGGAATTGATGTAAGAACAGAGTTCAGAAGAACTAGTCTCTCTCCATAAGATAAAAAGTTCTTTTTCCAAGAAGCAAGTCTTTTATGAAGATTATCAAGGAGAGGCTGCCAATCAGATTTAGTAAGCTTCCCATATTTCAAAGATAGAACTAGATATTTGATAGGAAGAGATTCAACTTTGCAGCAAAGTAAATTTGATAGAGTTTGAGTGATCCTAGGTATTTTACCAAAATACACAGGGGATGATTTTGAGTAATTAATACCTAACCCTGAAATCTCTTCAAAGATACAGAGGATAGTTTTCAATACTGATATGTCCTTGGAGGAACTTTTGACAAAGAGAAGTGTATCATCTGCAAACTATAGGATTCTCAGATGATTAAGGGGTAATTTAATACCAAGCTTGGCTAAAGTACCATCATCCACATTGTTACAGATCATTTTGTGAAGAACATCGACTGCAATATTGAAGAGCATTGGGGATAGGGGAAGCCCTTGCTTGAGGCCTCTCTTACAAGAGAAGAATTTGGAAGGCATTTGGTTTTAATTAAAATTTTCAATATATAGTATTACATTAAACTTTAAATCGCATGTTTTTTTTTGTGTGTGTGTGAGAAATATTGCTTCTTTCTCCTGCTAAATAGAAAGCATATTCCGATACTATAGTTCTCAAAATGTCAAGTGTGCTTCTGTACAGGTAGTTTGGATGAAAAAGCAGCTAAAGATTGTTTGTTCTAGTTCATTTTGTACTTCAATCTGATGAACTTAAAAACAGAAAAAACACATAATTTCTATGGAAAGTTTAGCTTGTGTATAGGAAGCTTGGATGAAGAATCAATGAATGAGTGTTTTTTCTTCATTTTTCTGCATCAATCTGATAGCTTTTTTTTAACACAATTTCTATGGAAAGTTTAGCTTGAAGTCAAAAAGTGTTTCTATTCCATTTTTGCGCTTGAATTGATAAACTAAAAAAATATATTTTAGCTCATATTTTCTGGCTCATTTTTGTGCATCAATCTGATAGCTTTCTTTTTAAGACATAATTTCTATGGAAAGTTTAGCTTGAAGTCAAAAAGTGTTCCTTTTTCATTTTTGCGCTTGAATTTGATAAACTCTTAAAAAAAATTTAAGCTTAAAAAGTTAGGCATAATTGGCCCATGCAGGTCTCGAACCTGCGACCTTCGCGTTATTAG